ATTTTCTCATTGTTTCTCTCACTGACCCTGCCAAATACCCTCACAAAACATGTATTATCAAGCCCAGTTCATGGGAAGATGAGAAATGATTCACCAAAGTCTGCCAACAATTAACTCAGCAAATATTTACTGAGCACCTGCTAAGTGCCAGGCACTGTTCTAGGCACTGGGGGGAATGCAATTAATAAAACAGACAAAGTCCACCCCCTCACAGGGTTGATATCCCAGAAAGTAAGTCAGATGGTGAACAAGCATATGTATTATATAATGTCAGGCAGTGATAAATGCCACAAAGAAAAATAAAGCAGAGTAAGGGACAGAAACAGAGTGACAAGGCACAGAGCTGGAGCCATGCTTAGAATTCAGGACTCGCTGCCCTGGGGCCAAGGGCTGCTTCTTTCCTAACTGCCTTACAGACTAGATGCAGAATACCAATTGTAATAAGTAGCATGTGACAAAAGTGATAATTAAGGCACTTACTGCTCTGGCCATTTAGAGGAAAGAAAAAACTTGTGGGCTGAGGCATTCATGGAAGGCTCCCTGTTCTCTCTTACTCATTTCCCACCCCCCAAAATAAAATAAATTTGTACTTTTATATCCTAAAAAAAAAAAAAAAAAATGGCTGGAACAAGCCAGGAACAGAGTGGCACAAAAGGCTGAGGCAGGAGGATCATTTGAGTCTAGGAGTTTGAGATCAGCCTGAGCATCATAGTGAGATCCTGGGAAGAAAAGCCTGGAACAGTTCTGACTGAGCATGTTTCTCTATCTCAACCGGCCTCTTTCTAGCTCATTGTCCTAGTTGGTATTTCTTTTCTTTTCTTTTTTTTTTTTGAGAAGAGTCTTATATCGTCACTGTTGGTAGAGTGCTATGGCATCACAACTCACAGCAACCTCAAACTCTTGGGCTCAAAAGATCCTCTTGCCTCTGCCTCCCAAGTAGCTGGGACTACAGGTGCCTGCCATAATGCCTAGCTATTTTTAAGAGATGGGGTCTTGATTTTGCTCAGGTTGGTCTCAAACCTGTGAGCTCAAGTGATCCACCCGCCTTGACCTCCCAGAATGCTAGAATTATAGGTGTGAGCCACCTCGCCTGGCCTCCTAGGCAGTATTTCTTTTTTTTGCAGTTTTTGGCCAGGGCTGGGTTTGAACCTGCCACCTCCAGCATATGGGGCCGACACCCTACTCCCCTGAGCCACAGTGCCGCCCCTAGGCAGTATTTCTTAATGGTACTTAAGATTTCCCAAAATGATCTGGTTGGTTTCTTGTTTACCTTTTCCACTAGGAAAGAGCCCATGAAAGCAGGGATCTAGCCTGTCTTCAACACTGTATCTCTAAGATAGCATCGTCCAACTTTCTAGATAATGGAAATATTCTAAATCTGCACCATCCAGTATGGTAGCTCCTAGCCACCTGTGTCTACTAGGCACTTGAAATGTGGCTTGTACAACTCATGAACTGGCTTTTTTTTTAGACGGAGCCTCAAGCTATCCCCCGGGTAGAGTGCCATGGCATCACGCTCACAGCAACTGCCAACTCCTGGGCTCAAGTGAGTCTCCTGCCTCAGCCTCCCAAGTAGCTGGGACCACAGGCGCCCGCCACAACGCCCGGCCATTTTTTGGTTGCAGCCATCATTGTTTGGCGGGCCCTGGCTGGGGATTTGAACCTGCCACCTCAGGTGTATGTGGCTGGCACCTTAGCCGCTCGAGCCACAGGCGCCGAGCCTGAACTGACTTTTTAACTTAAATATAAATTTCAGTAGCCACTTGTGGCTAGTGGCTACCATGTCGTGCAGTTGAACTTTAGAACCCAGAATGGTGCCTGATAGATAGAAGTTTCCTGACAAATGCTGAATGAAAGAGTGAAGAAATGTATTCTGGAAAGGAGGGAGTATAAGAAAATGCAGAATGGCAGGAATCCCCAAAAGGTATTTGGGAAATAGCAGTGTCAGTTCTTAGACATGTGCTGGAAAGTGGCAAGACACAGATGGGCAGAAGTGGGTGAAGTCTGACTGGGACTAGGGTGCTATGCTAAACAGTTAGTCCTTTGTCCTGTGGGCAGTGGGGTTGGCACTAAAGATTTCTTTTTTTTTTTTTTTAAGAGACAGGGTCTCACTTTGTTGACCTCAGTAGAGTGCCGTGGCATCACAGCTCACAGCAACCTTCAGGTCCTGGGCTTAGACGATTCTCTTGCCTCAGCCTCCTGAGTAGCTAGGACTACAGGCGCCCACCACAATGCCTGGCTATTTTTTTGTTGCGGTTTGGCCAGGGCACACTCTGTATATGGGGCCAGTGCTCTACTCACTAAGCCACCAGCACCGCCCGGCACTAAAGATGTTTTTCTTTTTTTTGAGACAGAGTCTCATTATGTCACCCCTAGTAGAGTGCTGTGGCATCACAGCTCACAGCAACCTCCAACTCCTTGGGCTTATGAGATCCTCTTGTCTCAGCCTCCCAAGTAGCTGGGACTACAGGCGCCTGCCACAGCTATTTGTTTTTGTTGTTGCAGTTGTCATTGTTTTAGCTGGCCTGGGCTGAGTTCAAACCCACCAGCCTCGGTGTATGTGGCCAGCACCCTACCCACTGAGGTATGAGTGCAGCCTGGCACTAAAGATTTCTTTTTTGTTGCAGTTTGGCCGGGGCTGGCACCCCACCCACTGAGCCACAGGTGCCACCCATCACTAAAGTTTTTTTTTTTGCAGTTTTTGGCTGGGGCTGGGTTTGAACCCACCACCTATGGTGTATGGGGCCAGCGTCCTACTCCTTTAAGCCACAGGTGCCACCCCTTATCACTAAAGATTTTTAAAAGCAGGTAAATGCCACATGAGCATAACTGTGTTTGGGAATACTCATATAGAAGCTCTGTGTGGGGGGCAGCACCTGTGGCTCAAGGAGTAGGGCGCCGGCCCCATATGCCCGAGGGTGGCGGGTTTAAACCCAGCCCAGCCAAAAAAAGGAAGCTCTGTGTGGGAAGAATTAGTGTTCAAGAGGCTCCCATTGCCTCTGAATTGGTGTGCTGGTAGTGTGACCAGGAAGGCAGGGGTTAAGTAAGGAGGATCCCAATCTTCAAGACATGACCCAGGAACATCAGCGTAAAGGAGATCCCAGAACCACAGGGACTGAGTTTAGGAAGTCCTTCTTATCTTCCCCATAGTGCTTCCTTTGTCAGTATCCTGCAGCCAATACTGAAAAACCACACTGCTGGCGCTGCTGCTTACGCCACTCTGATTGTGGATGGATAAGCCTAAAGGCCCTTTAACACACTGTAAGGCTGCTAACATCACAAGTTTCCAGATAAAATAACTGCACTGTCATGACAGCTTAAGGATGAAAGCCACAACATAAATGTTTCCAAGGCATTTAAGGACACCAAGAATAATTGTTATGAGGGGAAAATGGATTTGGGGTCAAATGGAATTGATTTCAAAGTTTTCCTTGTGTTGACAGACCTTGTAAGCGTGGATCCATTGGGCTTATCCCTTGTCCACAGTGAATGATATGTCAGTATAGTCAGAGAATTTATCTTGACAGCCAAATAAATCAGGGTGACATAAAAAATAGGCCCTGCAGTAGGAGTTATGACATTTTAAGTACTTGGCATTGGAAAAACTAGAAACCTGTCATCAAACATTTAGCCTTACCTTTGTTTTTGGCCTTATTTTCTGGGCCCTCAAACAATAAAACTGTGAATGGGAGGTCCTTGCAGAGCAGTGAAAGACTGAACACGCATTGGCCAGCCTTTGGGATGTGTGTAGTCAGGCAGTGGAAAACACGACTAGATACATAGGATGGGTGAGATTCAGGAGGCCTAAAAACAAACAGCCAGGCTAAGTCATCTGGCTTTAATGTGGTAGTTAATAAAGAGCCAATGAATGTTTCTGAGCACATAAATTAAAGAATGAAAGTGCTATAAAAAAAAAGAGACAGAATGAATAGAGGTTGGGTAGATATTAGCAAGTTTAGCTTTCTGTCTCTGAAAGCAACAGCTCTGAACTTTTTGGGGTTCATGGAACCTTTTAAGAATCTGACATACGGGCTTGGCGCCTATGGAGCCAGTCACATACACTGAGGGTAGTAGGTTCGAACTCAGGTGGGGCCAGCTAAACAACTGCAACCAAGAAATTGCTGGGCATTGGGCGGTGCTTGTGGCTCAAAGGAGTAGGGCGCTGGCCCCATATGCTGGAGGTGGTGAATTCAAACCCAGCCCCGG